GTTTCTAGGCTGGAAAGAAAATCCCTGGAAACTAAGGGAATCCTTAAAGGGACATAATAGGAAACACTCTGTAACTGAGACAGTTTATTGTCTGTGACTGTATTTCCCACTCACAAGTACAAGGCCCTTGGGCTGCAAGAACAATACAGGTTATTGTTACATCTATAGCTCATTTTAGAATATGAAACCCAGCATCCCCTCAGCATCAGGAAGCAGCCAAAACTTGTGGGCCACCAAAGCTGCTGTGCCCATCTCTGCTGGAAACCCATTGTTCCACATACCATCGCCGTGACGGGGCTGTGCGCTTGTTTACAGGCAAGGAGCCCTCCTTTTCTCACAGCCCTTTGTTTTTCTGTGACCAGTAAAATGATGTAAATCAGCCTCCCCTCTTGCTTCGCAGGATGGACAGGAAGATGCCAGACTGTTGTATCGGCGTGGGTGTTTGTGAAGATGTGATATTTTTCCTTATGCAGGCAGAGGAGTCACTGCAGATCAGCAGAGGGATATTTCCTCATTTAGGCTCAGCCTATTTCCCTGTCATGTTGTAGTTCAGCAAACACTGTCTTACAGAGCTTCTCTGCCTGGCAGGTGAAATCCAGACATGTATATTCCCCTGACTGGGAGCCCAGGAGAACATATATTTGCCACACTCTGCAAATTTCCTGTCAAGTACTTGAGGTTTAAGGTGTTTCCTCAGCTATAACTGCTGTAATACTGGAAAGGAACAGGGTTTGCCACAGACTGCATTCATGCATTTGGCTGGCTCCAAAAGATGTGGAAATAACAAATCATAAATTAAGTTCTCAGAAGCTAAGGGTACAAAAATACCAATTGAAAAGACTATCCAAACCAAGAGTGGGTTAGATAATCTCGGAGAAGAGGGAGCAGACTGCACGTTTCTGCATCCTCAGGCCTGCACTGCCCCTTGCTGACAAACTCTTCATCATGGGACAAGAAATGCTGCAGGGAACAGAAGTCCTGGGGGTGGAAGCATCCTCTCTGCTCCCCAGACCCCAGGTACAGCCAGCTGTAGGGTCTGCCCTGGGCAGGGCTCCCTCTTCTACCTGAGACTCCAGTATGATTCTTCATCCCTGGCAGGACAGCACGGGTGGAAGGGTGAGCACTCACGAGTGGAGGAGTCTGTGCTTCCATGCTGCCCCTTCACATGCCCCCTCCACTGCTGGTTCTCCAGCCTCTTGGCATAACACGGGAATGACATTGGCAGGGTAGCAAGAGTGATGCAGGAAGATACAAATGCCCTGCTAATAAACCTGAGTTGCCAGTTCAATCACTCTCCCAGTGATTTAACTGCATTGAATCTGATGCATCTCCCTGCATTAGGCTACTTGTCATTTTCCCACCCACCATCCTCTTCCTGCAGTCGGGCAGCCTGCATTTGTCACAAGGGGAGATAATGTGCCCTGGATGTCAGTGCTAATAAACAAATAACTTGCTCTCCTACAGCACCTGGCAGCTGGAAGTTTCAAAGCACTTTGTAATCATTAACAGCTTTAGCTTCCCAGCCCTGATCAGGGGTTTTCCTCTCTGTTGCAAGAGGAGTAAAGTAGGGTCTGGTGGTGAAATGATGACAAATTAATAAGTACTTCAGTGCTACTGAAGTACTCTGCATGCTGAATGTAGCTTTTTATGAAGTGAGGGGAACTACTGCAATGGAGGGGCACTGGGCTGAGATTAAGTTGATCTACAGGGTTTCTTCCTGGTTCTTCCTTCCACCTCCCTTCTGGGTGATCTTGCTTTTCTGTATCTTTATTTCCCCATTTGCAAAAGGAATGTAGTGACCCACTTCTCCTTGTGAAAAATTCTGAATACAGGTGATAAACAGTTGTGAGAGGTGCTGGAGAAAAAGTCCCAGCCACAAAAATCCTGTTTGGGATTTCAGAAAGTCATCTCTAAGAAAGATGTGGATGTTCAAACACTGAAGATAGTAACATAACACTGACATTGTGTACATGGGGCAATGGGAGCCAGGTGGAGAGAAGCATAGAAAATGGAGAAAAGCAACACTGAGAGTTTTTTCCCTAGTTATTAATATGAAATCAGACTCTAGTCTCCAATTTAGGAGACCTTGTAGTTGGAATTGTCACTAGAATCTAAGAGGCATGGTCGATCAATGCAAGGGGAGAAATTTCCTGTCAAGTACTTGAGGTTTAAGGTGTTTCCTCAGCTATAACTGCTGTAATACTGGAAAGGAACAGGGTTTGCCACAGACTGCATTCATGCATTTGGCTGGCTCCAAAAGATGTGGAAATAACAAATCATAAATTAAGTTCTCAGAAGCTAAGGGTACAAAAATACCAATTGAAAAGACTATCCAAACCAAGAGTGGGTTAGATAATCTCGGAGAAGAGGGAGCAGACTGCACGTTTCTGCATCCTCAGGCCTGCACTGCCCCTTGCTGACAAACTCTTCATCATGGGACAAGAAATGCTGCAGGGAACAGAAGTCCTGGGGGTGGAAGCATCCTCTCTGCTCCCCAGACCCCAGGTACAGCCAGCTGTAGGGTCTGCCCTGGGCAGGGCTCCCTCTTCTACCTGAGACTCCAGTATGATTCTTCATCCCTGGCAGGACAGCACGGGTGGAAGGGTGAGCACTCACGAGTGGAGGAGTCTGTGCTTCCATGCTGCCCCTTCACATGCCCCCTCCACTGCTGGTTCTCCAGCCTCTTGGCATAACACGGGAATGACATTGGCAGGGTAGCAAGAGTGATGCAGGAAGATACAAATGCCCTGCTAATAAACCTGAGTTGCCAGTTCAATCACTCTCCCAGTGATTTAACTGCATTGAATCTGATGCATCTCCCTGCATTAGGCTACTTGTCATTTTCCCACCCACCATCCTCTTCCTGCAGTCGGGCAGCCTGCATTTGTCACAAGGGGAGATAATGTGCCCTGGATGTCAGTGCTAATAAACAAATAACTTGCTCTCCTACAGCACCTGGCAGCTGGAAGTTTCAAAGCACTTTGTAATCATTAACAGCTTTAGCTTCACAGCCCTGATCAGGGGTTTTCCTCTCTGTTGTAAGAGGAGTAAAGTAGGGTCTGGTGGTGAAATGATGACAAATTAATAAGTACTTCAGTGCTACTGAAGTACTCTGCATGCTAATGTAGGTTTTTATGAAGTGAGGGGAACTACTGCAATGGAGGGGCACTGGGCTGAGATTAAGTTGATCTACAGGGTTTCTTCCTGGTTCTTCCTTCCACCTCCCTTCTGGGTGATCTTGCTTTTCTGTATCTTTATTTCCCCATTTGCAAAAGGAAGGTAGTGACCTGCTTCTCCTTGTCAAAAATTCTGAATACAGGTGATAAACAGTTGTAAGAGGTGCTGGAGAAAATGTCCCAGCCACACAAATCCTGTTTGGGATTTCAGAAAGTCGTCTCTAAGAAAGATGTGGATGTTCAAACACTGAAGATAGTAACATAACACTGACATTGTGTACATGGGGCAATGGGAGCCAGGGTGGGAGAGAAGCATAGAAAATGGAGAAAAGCAACACTGAGAGTTTTTTCCCTAGTTATTAATATGAAATCAGACTCTAGTCTCCAATTTAGGAGACCTTGTAGTTGGAATTGTCACTAGAATCTAAGAGGCATGGTTGATCAATGCAAGGGGAGAAAGGGCTAACGAGCATGACTGTGTACCTCTGGTACACCAACCTAGGCAGGTGAACTGCATTAAGTGGTGCTAATGTAGCCATTAAATGGTGCTAATGGAGCTCTGGGTTCCTGGTGAGGTCCATTTCACCTGTTGGGAGTGAAGGAGGGAGACAAGAAGGACAGAGCAGCAGAGGGATACTTCAAATGCTGTGCTGTTGCCTGGAAAAGCAGCCTTTACTCTGTTTCTGCTGTGTTTTCAGGTTAGTAAATGCTCATTTTTATTACATTTATATATATAATCAGCGGCAGAGATTTGATGTTATTCCTCCCACCTGTATCTGCAAATATATGCAGCCACCCTGAGAAGGGCTCTTTCCTTTGGCGAGGGGCTGCCCGGGTGAGGGCGAGTGCTCAGTTCACTCCTTGTACTCACGGTGATGCTCGGCCTCGTTGAGCTCAGCTGCTCCTGGCTCAGCAAGCAGGGCCTGGGAAGCAAGAGGGGCCCTGTTGAGTTTCTCAGCGCTCTCTGCTCATCCTTTTTTCTCCTGGCACCGATCCCTCCCCCTATTTTCACGGGGGATACCACCGGGAGCTGGAGGGTGGTGGGAATAGCCTCATCCTCCTAAGGAGGGGATGCTGCGGCTCTCCCCGCGGTGCTGGCTCTGTTCCAGGCGCCTCCCCTGCTGTAAATCAGCCCCGGGGCGGCGGGGCCGGGCCAGGAAAGCGTTAACCGTCCCTGCAATGCTGCGTCCCAGCTCACGGTGGAGCTGCCTTCCTCTCTTCCACCCCCAACTTCCAATTCGCTCCAAACAACTCCGGGACAGAATTGCAGGGAAAAGCTGGAGGTTCAGACTAGACTTGTTGATCTCCGTTCCGAGGCAGCAGAAGGAAGTACCGGAGCTTTCCTTTGTGTCTGCACGGAGAGAGGGCTTGGAGGGGGGGGGGCGGGGGCAGATGCGGCTTCGGCGTTGACTGGAGGCAGGAGCGAGGAGCCGCAGCCGAGGGAAGGCCGAGGGAAAGCTTCCTGCCGAGGGATCCGATTTACCTCGTTTCTCTTCCCGAGTTTCTCAGCGCTCTCTGCTCATCCTTTTTCTCCTGGCACCGATCCCTCCCCCTATTTTCACGGCGGATACCACCGGGAGCTGGAGGGTGGTGGGAATAGCCTCATCCTCCTTAAGGAGGGATGCTGCGGCTCTCCCCGCGGTGCTGGCTCTGTTCCAGGCGCCTCCCCTGCTGTAAATCAGCCCCGGGGCGGCGGGGCCGGGCCAGGAAAGCGTTAACCGTCCCTGCAATGCTGCGTCCCAGCTCACGGTGGAGCTGCCTTCCTCTCTTCCACCCCCAACTTCCAATTCGCTCCAAACAACTCCGGGACAGAATTGCAGGGAAAAGCTGGAGGTTCAGACTAGACTTGTTGATCTCCGTTCCGAGGCAGCAGAAGGAAGTACCGGAGCTTTCCTTTGTGTCTGCACGGAGAGAGGGCTTGCGGGGGGGGGTGGGGGCAGATGCGGCTTCGGCGTTGACTGGAGGCAGGAGTGAGGAGCCGCAGCCGAGGGAAGGCCTTGAAAAGCTTCCTGCCGAGGGATCCGATTTACCTCGTTTCTCTTCCCCTCCCCCCGGGTTCCGTGGACAGCCGAGATACGCGGCCGCCATCCCTCCGCCTTGAGCCTGCCCGCGGGGGGATGCGAGCGGGGCCGCCCCTGCTGCCCGCCCCGCCGCAGGATGTAGCCGCCCTCGGCCCCGCACAGCCCCGCACCGCCTCGCTAGGAGCCCGCAGGAGGAGGTAGGTGCGGGCCGGGCTCGGGCCGAGGGAGGGGAGCCTTTCCCCGCGTGCGGTGGCGGCGGCGTTCGGGGAGCAGCCTCGGGGGCGGCCTGAAGGCAGCGGCGGTATTTTGGTTTTGGGGCTGGGGGGAGCCGGATCAGCGGGGAGAGGGGCCGAGCCCCCGGAGCTGTGCCGGCTGGGCATGAAGAAGCCGTTCCTTTCTGCGCCGGGGTTTCTCTTCGTGCCATCTTGTGTAAGCAACAGTGCTCAGGGCTGTCATAAGCCACTCGGCTTCGTAAGGAAGGCTCGGGGTTTTTCCTTTATTCTGATTTTCGTTGATTTCTCTGTTATGCAGAGGTCGGCATGAGGTGTGTGTGGGGGCGTCACTAGGTAGCCCACAGAGGTAGAGTGCGTTGTTGGAGTGACTAGAAATAGCCCCTTTCCCCTTCCCCAGCCCTTTCCTCGGGGAAATTTGCAAGGCTGGAGTTATTAAAAAAAGCCTCCGGGTCTCCCTGCAGCCTCCACGGCTGGGCAGGGCGGGGGGCACCGCTGGCTCCATGGAGGGGGGCTGACCCGGGAGGGTCGTAAGGGCACCCGGGGTCCGGTAGGGGCCCCCTGCGGGATGGAGCGGCGGGGACGGTGCGCTCCCGGCGGGCCCCTTCGGCATGGGGAACAACGTGCCAGCGCTCCCCGGGCTAGCGGCCCGGCGCTTTTTGGGGTGCTCGGGAGATGTCTACGCTCTCCTCTATCACTCAGCGTTTCCCAGCCCTTTTGCTCGCAGAGACTCCCGGGGCCGTGTCCAGCCTCCGCAGCTCCCCCGGTTGGGGTGTGCGGGCGACCCTGACGGACAGAGGAGAGGAGAGGGGGTGCGGGGGGGGG